CATTTTGTTTTTATTGAAACAACCCTGACACTGTCTTAATTCAGCAGGTAAATCTCGATTTTAGCTTAGGGGCCAACCCAAACCCCCAACAGTGCTAAATAAAGTGAGAGGATCCAATCTTGAAAATCTCTCTCCATCTTTTCTTACTCCATGAAGGTTCTTCCTCAAGTTGGGCTGAGGGGGTGCAAACTGACCTTACAAACTCCGATAAATGGTCTAAGGTGATTATACTTTGCAATTGCAGTGCACAGCAGTGTGGCTCTGACAGCCCCAAGACTACTGGTAGCTCCCAAAAAGGGGGGCTTCCTGTTCTCCACCCACAAAGGGCAGCACAGGAACCACCATCTGGAGAGAATGTTTATTCACTCAGAAAGTGAAAGTGCTTTCTCTTTTTACTTTTAAGAAATCGGACAGAAAAACATCTCCTGTATTTTGCAGTGAACAACATGGAGGCAAGAATCTTTGCTTAGCTCGGATCAGAAATGAAGAAAGCAAGCTTTGTGATGATTTCTCTTTACAGGGAAAAGAAATGTTCTTTCACCTCATTTCCACCTGAGCATCTGGTTGGCCCTACAGGGATGGGAGATCCGTTGCTCCTATGGACAGGCAATGCAAACAACTTAAAAACATTTTTTATACAACAAAGGAATAAAGCTGGAATGTAACCATCCTTCCTAGAAACAGACTATAGAGCTGTTCACCTCATTCCTGAATGAACGACCAGAAGTGATCAAGCACAGGGTCCACTAACTTGCCCAGACTGACATCAAACTTGAGATCCTCCCACTTCAGCCTCCCCAGTAGCTGGGATTACAGGTGTACACTACTGTACCCTGCTTCCTGCTATTTTCTTTCAATGTCTTGAAGGAATAGTTTACGTATAGTACGTATAGTTTCCAAAAGTAAATAAATAAACACATTTAAACTTATATTCCTCCAAGAGCCATTTTAGTTAAGGCCCATGAATTTTGGAATAAGCATTCTCATTTTTTATTAACTCCTAAATATCCCTTAATTTTATATATTAAGATACAGAGCAGAGTATAATTGATTTTAGAGAATCCTAATTAAAAAACATACCTGGTATAGAAAAATATTTTATTATATATCTATTTATTCACTTTATTACTTATTTATTATTATTATTATTATTATTATGCAAGAAATAGCTGTGACAGAGAAATATTAGAAGTTACAGAAAGTAATAAGAAAAATAATCACTGGAATGCAGCCACTTCTGACACATACCTTTTCAGATATCCTGAGATGCCTTGGTACAGAACTAATTCAGTAAAGGCATTTTATTTAGTCCATTGTAACTACTGAACTTGGAAGCCCAGAGCCAGTGTACTTTTATGTACAAAGCAGTTGTTTACAATTTGTGTGATCAGGCAAGTAGTATAAAAATTTGTAGTATATGAAGACCTTCACAGGAAGCCATGTGCAAATCTGGATGGTTTCTATTCTGACCCTCAGAGATGTGGCCCTTCACTAAGGATGCTGAAACACAGGCTGGGTGATTGTGGGAAAGTCATGGAAATGGTAGAGCCAACTGCTGATAGGGAGGGTTGGGACCTGGCAGACCTGGGTCTGCATCCCAGCTCTGCCAATGCCTGTGTACTTCTGGGAAGATTATTTCCCCTGTACCCTGGGCATCTGTACCAGTATTTCATCTAAAGGAACAAGCAACATATGTAAATGCTTTGCAGCATATGGGCTGTAGAAGCATTCTGCATTCTGATGTGGTGCAGGGGAACTGAGACAAAGAGAGAGGAACTGACCTCTCAAAGCAAAATAGAGGGGCTGGGGCTATAGCTCAGTGGCAGAGCACTTGCCTAGCATGTGTGAGGCACTGGGTTCAATTCTCAGCACCACATAAAAATAAACAGATAAAACAAAGGCATTTTGTCCATCTACAACTAATAAAACAGGCAAAATAGAGAACTGAGAGCAGTCCTACAGAGATGCCAATAAGCCACACAGGTCCAAAGCAACTGGCAGATCTCAGTGGGCTCTGCCCTTGCCATCCTCCTGTCTGAGGAGAGAGATCTCACCAGTTGGTAGCAATGGAGAAAGCTGCCTCTCAGATGTGAGCCTATGACTGAAAGTATTGCGGGAAAATTAAGGAGAACAGGAGAGCTGAGCTGGCTCAGCCATTCACTCGGAGTATTTGCCTTGTTCTTTCTGGATTAGGAAGAACATCATTGATAGATATAGGGTCTGCTCTGTGCTTCTCTCCTTTCAGGCTCCTTTCCATTCCCAACCCCTACCTCCAAGCTGGTTAAATTTAAATAATTAATAGTGTCCATAGAAATAGCAACTTTTATTTAATGAAAAATGTTTTTAAAAAAGTTTTAAAAAACTTATATATATATATATATATATGTATATTATACATATAATAAAAATGACAGATGTCTGGTGACAGTCCCTGTTTTTTAAATGGGTCATATAGTTTAGGATAAGCCTTGGGTTTTGTGAATCCACTCAAGTCTTATTCCTCCTATATCCTCAGAAAAGTGAAGTTTCCAATGATATTCTGTTAGAGTCTGTAAACAAGTCAAAATAACACCTGGCATTTTGCCAGGGGAATGTTAGAGTTCGTAAACAAGTCTGGATGGTGCCTGGCAAAATGCCAGAGGGAGTGGTTTGAGAAGTAACAAAAGTGAGCCATTAAGTGTGGAGATTCCTGATAGGTTGACTGATGTATCTAGTTTATGCTAATTAGGTAAGCTGTGTGGAATGTATAAATACTGCTCCTGTCCTGCAACAAAGGGCTTCCACTGCTGCTGTATCAATCTACACAAGTTGCTCCTCACCCCCCAGTTACTTTGCTGCAGCCGGACTGCGGCAGATGGTGGCCCGTTATGGGGAGCCCCAGGACACTCCGGGGTAAGTGACGAAAAAAAGCTGCCTGTCCATAGATAGGATGGGAGCAATCTGCTCATCCCTAGACAGATAGGGCGAGAGGAAAAATGGCCATTTCGAGAAAATGGAAAAGATTGATACAGTATGTTTGTGTCTTGTTTTGTCTCAGTGTATTGTATTGTCTTTATGATGAAAATATGGAAGGGGTGAGAAGTAAATTACTAAGGGAAGGAGGCACCCCAGTGGAACCAAGAATAGTTAGGGCATGTGTTGATAAGAGCCCAGGAACTCTAGTCAGAAAGAAAAAGAAAGTTCAGAAGAAGAAGGATTATCAGGAAAAAAGTTGCAGCAAAAGGCTATTACTGAATACTTTTTGTTACCGGAGGGTGCGTGAAGCGGAGAGGCGGCTGCCGAGTGTGCAAGCAGGTCACAGTGCAGCAAGAATTTTCCAAGTGGCGACAGCTGGCTCTTCCACTGCCGCGAGCCCAAATCTAGACCTGACCTGGAGGCACAGTCTTGCAGGCTCTTGCTCCCTGTGCCCAGTAGCAGTTTGAGTCCGGGACACTCCCCAGGGCCATCTGGGGCTGCCCAGGATGCTACAGCCAGCAAAAGACGCTACTGGTGTCCCTGATGTTTGGTCATTTTCAATGCCAATAACTAAGCTACAATGTTTCTCCCACACCTGGAAGCTAATGAGTAATGAGCACTATTAAGGCTTATTTCAAATGCAAAAAAACCTTGAGATAATGTACTAAATTGTTCAGAAGGTTGTTTTCTTAGTAGAATGCTACAGGATTTTCTTTAACACCATTGCTGGAGTTCCTGCCTTCGTCCCAGTGCCGGTGAAAACGAGGGTGGAAGAATTTCCAGTGTTGCTGAAAACTGGATGAAACTTCGGCTGAGAAACGGATGAGACTTCGAGACTTCGGATTAAGCTAGCTGCCTGCAGAACTTACCTGGACTGTGATTTACCTGGACTGTGAGTTAATCTATTGAGACACTGCTTTACCTAGACTGAGACAACAAACTGTAATCTATATCTTTGCTAACAGTGTCATTGCTGGTATAATTTTTCCAAGGGCTTCTTGCATGGAGCCATCAATTGGCTTGGTATTGTGGCATTTTGTATCCTCCCTTTCTGTTTGTAGCAGGTTATTTATGGTGTTTCTGTAAGAACCACTATGGTCGTTATTTAAATTAAACAAAAGGGGGAAATGTTAAGAGTCTGTAAATAAGTCAAAATAACACCTGGCATTTTGCCAGGGGAATGTTAGAGTTCGTAAACAAGTCTGGATGGTGCCTGGCAAAATGCCAGAGGGAGTGGTTTGAGAAGTAACAAAAGTGAGCCATTAAGTGTGGAGATTCCTGATTGGTTGACTGATGTATCTAGTTTATGCTAATTAGATAAGCTGTGTGGAATGTATAAATACTGCTCCTGTCCTGCAAAAAACGGCTCCCACTCCTGCTGTATCAACGTACACAAGTTATTCGTCTCCCCCCCCCCTAGTTTGCTGCAGCCGGACTGCGGCAATATTCCAGTCAAGCAGATCAGTAGATACTGTGCTAATTAAGGAAGGAAACTGAATCAATACAGCTTACAAAGATTTTTTTTTCACAAAATGGTTAAGACCCAAAAGACTCACAACATTAACTTTTAATTTAGTGACCCAGAACATCCAATTACCTATCACACTCTACAAAATTATGTTTAAATATAGTGCTCTTAGACTATGTCTTTACAAAGTGAAGGGAAGACAAGGGGAAAATAAAACAATCAATGTGCCCTCCAAATCTAGCCAAAAGTAATAAATTAGTCTCTCCCCTCAGAAAAGTTAACTTAGAAAAGTGGCAGAGAACGTGGAAAAGAAGGTTATAGCTCTTGCCTATGCTAGTTATTCAGCATACAGAACTCCAAAGTCTGAGCAATATCAGTCTAGATGTTAGGAGATGGTAATGTCCCTGCAACAGATGTTCATATTATAAATCTCACATTCAAGCTCATAGACGTGAATTCTGCAGTTCCAGAACCTACTTGGGGGAAGAGTTAAAATGGTAACAAATGTAAAGCATGCTTAGAAAACATTTATGGTCTCTGAATTGTTTTGCTCTTTATATCTTGTTTATACACTGACCTGTAAGACATAGCATATGACAGCTGCCAGTCCAACCCAGCTGTGAAGACTGTACATATTGGGGATACTTTGGGCATTGTGGAAATCAAAAACGGCCACCAGAGCGATAACTGCAAGAATGGTAGCAACACCATTTAACCCTGCATGGATGGATTTCATCAGGAACTTGCTGCATTTCCAGGTCCATGGCAGTCTGTAGACGATGATGGCTAAGGAGACAGAAGGTGTTTTTAAAGAATCAACACAAAATAAACAACTCAACCCAGTAGACACTTTCTTTGTAAAACCCCTTTCCCTTGGCTTCCACTTCTCACATACTCCTGCCCCTCAGTGCCTCATTCTTGGGCTCCTTTACTGCCATTCTACTCCTGAGTACATGCCCAAAAGAAATATGTACATATGTTCACTAAAAAACACTAGAATGTTACTAGCAGCACCATTTATAATAGTCAAAACCCTGGAAAACTTCCCAATAGCTCATCAATAGAATGAATAAATAAATTATGATATATTCACGCTATGAAATAATAACATAGCAAAGAAATGAATGATCTATAATTAGTACTACATCCAACAATAGGAATCAACCTACAAAGCGAATCCCAAGAAGCCAGACATTAACAAGTATATAGTTATGATTCGATTTGTATAAAGTGTAAAAACAGACAAAACTCATCTCTTCAGTTAGAGAAGTCAGTGGTGGTCCTTCTGAGGAAGGGGTACCACAGGCAATGGAACACGCCAGAAAGTCCAAAAGTTCCTATTGATATTGTTTCTCAGTCTGGATGCAGGTGTTCACTAAGAAAAGATTCATCTATATGTATCTGCATATAGATTAAACTTAAAATTTTTTCAAAGCCTTTCTACTCAAGAGTCCTGATTTAAGCAATAGATTATATGGCCACCTTATCCAGAATGCAATTAATTTTTGTTCTGAAGAAGAACATATTCTGCCTTTATCCATATCTCTCTTCATGTATTTAAAAAAATTAAATGTGTGGAAATGTGTGGCAGATTTAAAAAGTTTAAAGAATACTTCCTTGATAGATGTATTCCACGCTATCAGCAATTTATCATGCACATTTCTTAATTCTAGCAAATAAAAAAGAATCCTAACTATCAAAGACATTTATAATTTGAATATATAAAACTTCTTAGGATCATATAAATGTAAGGGATTATTCAGTCCCTTCTCAGGCAAAAATACATCTAAACCTACAAAGACAGAAGCAAATGCAGCCTCTTTAAAGTTTTCTGCATAAGAGTCATTCTTCCTAATTTTTGGACACTTTTCAACATTTGATAGCCTTCACCATCAGAAAAGTATTCCTTTTATTTAATCCAAACTCTGAAGGACTGCTCCTTACCAATTTCAGTGTGCATATAGGTATCTTAAAAGTGTTGATTGATTATACCTCCTTGATGACATGGAGACTTTGGATAATGAATCTTTTCAAACCAGTAATTTTAATATCTTGAAAAACAAACTTTTAAAACTAGCTCTAGGTCAACAAGTACATGAAATAAAATGCTCACCATCTCTAGCAGTCAGAGAAATGCAAATCAAAACCACCCTAAGATACCATCTCACTCCAGTTAGATTGGCAGCCATTATGAAGTCAAACAACAACAAGTGCTGGCGAGGATGTGGGGAAAAGGGTACACTTGCACATTGCTGGTGGGACTGCAAATTGGTGCAGCCAATTTGGAAAGCAGTATGGAGATTTCTTGGAAAGCTGGGAATGGAGCCACCATTTGACTCAGCTATTCCCCTTCTCGGTCTATTCCCTAAAGACCTAAAAAGAGCATGCTATAGGGACACTGCTACATCGATGTTCATAGCAGCACAATTCACAATAGCAAGACTGTGGAACCAACCTAGATGCCCTTCAATAGATGAATGGATAAAAAAAATGTGGCATTTATACACAATGGAGTATTACTCTGCATTAAAAAATGACAAAATCATAGAATTTACAGGGAAATGGATGGCATTAGAGCAGATTATGCTAAGTGAAGCTAGCCAATCCCTAAAAAACAAATGCCAAATGTCTTCTTTGATATAAGGAGAGTAACTAAGAACAGAGTAGGGACGAAGAGCATGAGAAGAAGATTAATATTAAACAGTGATGAGAGGTGGAAGGGAAAGGGAGAGAGAAGGGAAATTGCATGGAAATGGAAGGAGACCCTCAGAGTTATACAAAAGTACATACAAGAGGAAGTGAGGGGAAAGGGAAAAATAATACAAGGGGGACAAATGAATGTCAGTAGAGGGGGCAGAGAGAGAAGAGGGGAAGGGAGGGGAGGGGAGGGGGGGTAGTAGAGGATAGGAAAGGCAGCAGAACACAACAGACACTAGTATGGCAATATGTAAATCAATGGATGTGTAACTGATGTGATTCTGCAATCTGTATATGGGGTAAAAATGGGAGCTCATAACCCACTTGAATCAAAGTGTGAAATATGATATATCAAGAACTATGTAATGTTTTGAACAACCAACAATAAAAAATAAAAAAATAAATAAAACTAGCTCTAGGTCCCTTCTCACCTCTTCTCCATCTTCTCTGAGTACATTAATGTGTCTTGCTATTTTTCTCTTGAATCAACAGAGCCTATGACAGACCCAGGTTCAAAGAATGTAACTCCATAAGTATTTTTAAAAATCTTATTTAATTGTATAAGGAGAGTAACTAATTTAACCTCATTTGTAACACAACATGCGGTTGTAAGAAATAATACAAAAAAGATCTCATATACTCTTCACCCAGTTTCCCCCTAAAGTAACATCTTACATAACTATAGTACAATATCACATCCAGGAAGTTTAGGTGGATATAATCCACTGACCCAAATCAGAGTTCACCAGTTTTACCTTATTTGTACATGACCTATAAGCATTTATAAAAAAAATGTTGCAAAGTACATTCTGTACACTAGTTAAAATCTGGAAATCAAAGTGATGTGAAGTCAAACATTGGTTTAACCACCTCATACTTTTTCTCCCCTGAGGGTTGAGAGCACACCCTATATAATTCTCTAGTTTTCAGGGAGAGCAAATCCTCTTTACCCAATGACTAAGTGACCATTTATCCACAAATGGAGCCTTTTGCAAAATATGTGATTACACAGTAGTAAAATAAAAATGTGCAATATCTAAAGACATATGTTACACATCTCCCCCCTCCTGGTTTAACCTCATTTGTAACACACACAAACACACACACACACACACACACATTTGCTAGGGAACAGACACAATGTTAGTGTCTATTTACATTTTAATTCTCACCTCAACTCTCTAAGAAAAGTGTGATTATTATCACTGTTATACAGAGGAAGAAGCTGAGTCACAGAGAGGATAAGCAGTTTGTTCAACCTCAATAAATGCTTTATAATGTTATTGCTAACAGGGCACAATGGTGTGCACCTGTAATCCCAGTTTCTTGGGAGGCTGAGGCATAAGATTGCAAGTTCCAGGTCAGCCTGGGCAACACAGTGAGACTCCATCTCAAAATACTTATATATTATTATCATCACCATATTATCAACCAAGCACCTGCAGGAAGAAATCTTAGGTGAGTGAACTTGAACAGCTATATAAAAGGAAGTATTCAGGATGTGTTTTCTTGAAAAGCAAATTAGAACAGTATACCATATACAGCTTTTTCTCTCTTACCTGGATGACAGTTTATCAAAAATTCCCCAAATAAAACTAATTTCTGCGGTTAAAAGTCAGGATTAGCTTCTATAACTAAAAGGAGTTGCAAGGGTGACCAGGGAACCCTGGAATATAGTTTCTTGACCTGGGTACCCAGGTGTGTCCATGTTAGGAAAACACCTCACATGACTTCGGCACTCTTGTGCATGCTGTTCTTCAAAAAAAAAAAGTTTAAGAAACTGTTGCCAAAAACCCCAAGACCACTGCATTCCCAGTGAAGACTCTGTACTCTTCCCCATGCCTGGGGCACAGGAATGTGTCAAGTTTTTCATAACACGGAAATCTATTACTTTTGAATGTCAAAACTTGATTTTTAAACTTTTCACCTTCACTCAAATATGTTTGTTGTTTGTTTTTCTTTTTTTTTTTTTTTTTTGAGACAGGGTTTCAAAGACAGGCTGGTCTTGAACTCCCACATCAGCTTCCAAGTAGCAAGTTTTGCAAATGGGCTGCATACTAGCTTTCTTTCTCCAGCAGTTGCATGAATGGAACCTATTTAATTCCTCATAGATGATGTTAGGTTATTAACAAAACACCAATCATTATCCTATTACTTTAGAAGGAAGATCTCATTTGCTTTTGATCCAAATGGACCCAGACAATTGTGGTTTTAGAGGCCCTGGGTCTATCTTGGGTTTTCCTACCTCTTCTTCTTGTCAGGGTAGGGTGCCTCTCCCTTCCATCACCCAACTCTATGCATCATTCTCACCAGCACTGATTACTGGCATATAGATTTTCATGGTGCCCCAAATCTTAACATCTACTAAATCTGAGTAGCAAATATATGGGGATCTATTATATTATTTTTGGTATGGTTGGAAGAGTTCTTTATAGTTTTAAAGTTAAAACAATATTTTTGTAAGCTTGCAAACCCAGTAGTCAATTAGTCTCAACTGCTCAACAGGCATCTGGTGGAGACTTATGGGCTCTTCCAAGTGAGGCACACAGGATTTTCTGCCCTGGCTACACAGGGGCTCAGCTGCACAGATGAATGTGCTTCAAAATGCTCCCTGGATAAGCAAAGGTTCAATGTAAAATCATGGATTTCAATGAGCTGTTTATATGCTTTAAAAAACATACAAACAGCTGAAATATGGTAGACTTTAGGGAAAAAGGGCAAGTTTAACAAACCAGATCACATTTCTTAAGGAAGAAGCTATTCTCAACAATTATAAAAACTGCCTGCAGCGTGAAATTTAAATATTTCTTGCTTCTTTGGCTTGGCACTTACCTAGACACCATTCCTGAGGCTCAATGAGAAGGAAGAAGAGGTCTGCTAAACCCACAAGAAGGAGAAATGGTATAAAACAGCTACTTGTGACTGGAACAAGGGTTATCTGTTGGAGGCTCTAATTACCAAGACCATTTTTTTCCACAAAAATGAGGGGAAACGTGAATTATATATGTGATAAATACATTTTAAATCTTTTCAAAGAAAAGCTATTGTTGGTGGAACATGCTAGTGTTCTAAACTTAGAAATAAAGGAA